TCTAATTGGTATATTTAGACCATTGTGGTTAAAGTGATTATTGATATGGTTAGATTAATATTGGCCATATTTGTTGCTGTTTTCTATTCATTGCCCTTGTTTTTTGTTCCTAGTTTTGTCTTCCACCCTTCCTTTACATTTTGTGGTTTTGACTGAGCATGTCCTATGATTCCAGTTTCTCTCCCTTTTTAGCGTATCAGTTGTACTTTTTTTAGTACAACTAAATATCGCTAGAGCTTGCAATATCCATTTATAATTAACACAAGTCCACTTTCAAATAACATTATACCACTTTATGGGTGGTGCAGGTTCCTTATAACAGAGTATTTCTTCCAGTTCCTCCTTCCTGTCCCCTTATCACCACTGCCAAGTCATTTCACTTATCCATGCGCTATAGTCATCCAATATATTTTGCTATTATTATGTTAAACAAACTCTTATCTGTTGGATCAGTTAAGAATAAGATCTTAGTGGGGCGCCTGGGTGGCGCAGTCGGTTAAGCGTCCGACTTCAGCCAGGTCACGATCTCGCGGTCCGGGAGTTCGAGCCCCGCGTCGGGCTCTGGGCTGACGGCTCAGAGCCTGGAGCCTGTTTCCGATTCTGTGTCTCCCTCTCTCTCTGCCCCTCCCCCGTTCATGCTCTGTCTCTCTCTGTCCCAAAAATAAATAAACGTTGGGAAAAAAAAATTAAAAAAAAAAGAATAAGGTCTTAGATCTCAGCTTATCAGTTTCCTCCTTCGAAAGGCCTTCGTTAAGTCTGGGTGAAGCCCACGCCTGTGCGTCTTGAATCATAGAACTGATCACGCTATCTCTTCCACTAACTCAAAATGTGTTGAGGGATAGAATCTTGTCAATCTCATTTGCTGCTGTAGCCTGTAGCCAAGCAGGCAGGCACATTGCCCATTTGAATACGCCACCAATATCCTGGTTTGCAACCCAAAAAGAGAACTTTGAGTAGCTTCTCTCTGAACCTCAATGCAAATTGCACTCACTAAATCTAACTCCAGCTCCCATCACACTTGCACTGATACTATCTCGGTTGGATTTCCCGACCACACTTTGAGGTAGGTGCCTATAGATCGATCAGGTTCCCTGGAAGCAGAGCCTGGTATGGGGATTTGTGGGCATGTGATTTATCGAGGATGGCTGTCAAGAGACAAGGAGTGAGGGAAGCAGGACAGGGCAAGGGAAGGAATCGAGCCAGGATGTATACTCAGATGGACTCTAACCATCCTGTGATCCCACAGGAAGCTCTGGAGTATGAATGAGCCACAGATTTGCTCAGCCTTGAGGCAGAAGACTGGACTTTTGTACCTCTGTATCAGTTAGTAATTGGCCATGGGCTGACTCAAGGAGAGGAAAGGGATGTAAACATCTGGGCATTTCCCGGCAAGATGGCTCCCGTCAACCAAAGGCTCCCTGGAGAAGGGAGAGCCTGTGAGCTGTTAGAGCCACCATGCCCAGGAACCAGGGGATGATGCAGTGGCCCGGTAATGGGATCTGGGTTGACCAGGGGCAGCACTTACCAGAGTACCCACAAGGAAGCTGACTCAGAAAGAAAAAGCAACCTGCCCAGCCGTACCCAGATAATAACCATCAGAACCAGACTTCAGACCCAGACAGCCAGACTCTGAGTCCCCAACTCCGCCTGCCCAAATCCAGCCCCACCTACCACAAACTAGTTCTGGTTGCTGTTTGACAGGGTGGCCTGCTTCTCAGAATGTAAAATCTCTAGGGGCAGGGAAGCAGCTAGGAAAGCTCTCTGTGGCCACTGCATTGCATGCACAGCCTTGAGAGACTGCATAAGGAGTAGGGTAGAGGTGAGAATTTGGGAAGCTGAGAGTCCACGTCCCAGCCTCCATGACTGCTGCTGGGAATGGCAGGTGATGAACTTCTACTCTGCTCTGCCCAAAGTTGGGGCTCTTGCAATGCAGCTGGGGAAATCTGCCTGGCCATGACACAAAAGCCTGGATGGTGGCTCCTGTGGACAATGAGACCAAGTGCCCTGCAGAAGAGTTCCCAGGCACTGCCCACTCAGAGGCAGGGCCTCCGGGCGCAAAAGTGGGAGGCAGGCTGGAGACAGGAGGGGAAGGGGCCTTCGTTGAATACACCCCATGGGCCAGACTTTTTACTCCTGCTTTTCATTTTTATTTTTTTAGTGTTTATTTGTCTTTGAGAGAGAGACAGAGATAGAGTATGAGCGGGGGAGGGGCAGAGAGAGGGGGAGACACAGAATCCGAAGCAGGCTCCAGGCTCTGAGCTGTCAGCACAGAGCCCGACACGGGGCTCGAACTCATGAACCGTGAGATCATGACCTGAGCCAAAGTCGGACGCTTAACCAACCGAGCCACCCAGGCGCCCCTACTCGTGCTTTTAATTAACCTCCCAACCACATAAGGAAATAAGGGTTACCAGAGCCATTTTACAGATGAGGAAACTGAGGTGCAGAAAAGTAATTTATTTGTGGCCACAGAGATAATAAATGATAGACATGATCTTTTCATGCAAACCAACATAGCTCGTAACCTGTGTTCTTTCTAGAAGTAAAAAATATCTTATTTCTGGGGCACCTGGGTGGCTCAGTTGGTTAAACCTCCAACTTCATCAGGTCATGATCTCGACCTCAGTTCATGAGTTCGAGCCCCGCATCCAGCTATCTGTCAGCACAGAGCCTGAAGCCTGCTTCCAATCCTGCCTCCCTCTCTCTCTGCACTTCCCCCGCTCATGCTCTCAATCTCTCTCAAAGATAAACATTTAAAAACATTTTTTTAATACTTTATTTCTGGATAAATTATCAGGGGAGTGTCATCCGTTCTCAGATGTCAGTCACTGTTCTGTGTTCATTAACAAGCTGATGGAGAAAGTATGAACATCCCCATGGCAGACGGGAGCTCAGAGAGGTCAAGTGACTTGCTCAAAGACACCCAGCTAGTAAGTGACGAAGAGGTTGGTTATTCATACCAGAACTTCATGATAACCTTGCCCGCATGTAATTCGTAACTTTGTGAATAGTTGTACTTAGCCTAGCTGTTGGGCAAACTGTTGAGGAAATTTCATACTGTAGATTCTGTTCAACCAGGCCGTTTGCCAATGCTACAAAGTCATGGTTGATACACGCACTCACGGGCGGGGTCCTGTGAGACAGCAGCCCCTGGAGAAAGGAGCCTGTCAGTGGTCCAGACAGAGCCTCGCCAAACAGAGACGGGGGCTTGGCCTGGCCCTGGGGGTCAGGAGGTGACTCCGCTCTGACCCCAAAGAGCTGCACACCCACAAAGAGGAAAGGCATGTGCCTAAATCTCTAACCGAGCTTTATTTATTTATTTTTTGTAATGTTTATTTATTTTTTGAGAGAGAGCGTGAGAGCGTGCACATGAGTGGGGGAGGGGCAGAGAGAGGGAGAGGGAAGCCCAAGCAGGCTCCACACTGTCCGTGCAGAGCCCGACGTGGGGTTCAAACCCACGAACGGTAAGATCACGACCTGAGCCAAAACCAAGAGTCGGTCACTCAACCGACTAAGCCACCCGGGTGGCCCCCCATCTACCTGAGGTTTAGGTAAGAGTGTGGGAGTGCCAACCGGTCAGAAGAGGGAGACGTTAATTCTCATCGCAGACCAGGGGCTCCGAAAGAGGTGGCCTTTGGAGCCAACAAGCTCCAGGAAGTATCTTGGACAGCTGGTGTCTCACAGCCGGGGGCACTTTCCTGGGGTGGAGGCGGGTGAGGCCAGAACTGTCCAATTCCTGCCCCTGCAGGTGACAGGTCCGGGAGGAGACCCTCAAAGAAGCGGGCTCCCAGAGCCGAGGGTGCCGCGGGCAGGCGCGGAGCCCAGCCTGGCCAGAAGGAACGGGCCGGGGGCAGCCCAGGGCCGGGGTCCCCCCGGAGGAAGCAGGCAGAGCGCAGGAGACACCGAGAAGAGCTGGGGGAACGGGGGCGGAGCTCCACAGAGAGGACCTGCACCGAGAGGAGGAAGAAGGATGGGAGGACTTCCCTCAAGGAGCAGAGAGCACCCTCAAAGAAGGGAAAGGAGGTGCCGAGGAAGGAGGAGACGTGGAAGCAGCTGAAGAAGCACAGGTATGTTGTGATTCTGATCCAGTGCGTTTATGATCAGTGCCCTCCTCTCCTTTGGCCTTTCTCCCTCCCGTGACAAAGGGCTGATGTCCCCTCCCCTGGTATAGGTGACCCCTCCAATCTCCTGCTTCTGTTTGTCCCCCGCTTTTCCACCACCCTGCTCTCCCCATCTGGGGCAGAAATGGGAAGAGGGTCTTGGCCACGCTAGGCGGAGGGGACACTGGGTGCTCTCAACCGCAGTGCCTCATGTCCGGCAGGTGCAAGTGGACGTACTGAGTGGGGAGGTGACATGGCAGCGGGGTGGGACCAGATCCCAAGTCTCCTAAATTTCAGCTGGTGGCTCACCGCAGCTCTTGAAGAGGAACTGAGAGAAAAGAACAAAACTGGATTTAGGAGTCATCGTAGGACTTAAGCACACCATTTCCCCAGTCTGGACCTGCGTCCTCTTCTGTGAAAGGTGGCATTGATTTAAAGGACCCTCGAGGATTCCACCAGCCCTGAAACCTAGGATGTGGGGGGTTTGTTTTTTTCCTTCGTTCCATTAGCGCTGGCACATGTGGGTTCACAGACAGAGCCAGCTTCAGGAGTCAGCAAGTCACGATTTGGGTTCCATTCTTTGCTGCCAATTTTTTTTTTTTTTTTTTTTAACGCTTATTTATTTTTGAGACAGAGAGAGACAGAGCATGAACGGGGGAGGGGCAGAGAGAGAGGGAGACACAGAATCAGAAGCAGGCTCCAGGCTCTGAGCCATCAGCCCAGAGCCCGATGTGGGGCTCGAACTCCCGGACCGCGAGATCGTGACCTGGCTGAAGTCGGACGCTTAACCGACTGCGCCACCCAGGCGCCCCTCTTTGCTGCCAATTTTGATGGGACATCTCCTTCTCTTTGCCCCCACCCCCCCCTTTTAGCTTTCCTCACTTCCCAGGATGTTTTAAGAATCCCTGTTGATAATGGCTGCAGAGGCTTTTGAAACAGTGGAAGGAAGTAGGGCTAGGGTGAAGGTGATGTTCCTTCCCACTGGGGTCTAACCCCCTCAAAAGGGTGTTCCACCGCCCCTCCCTGCCTTTACAGAGGGAACTGAGGCCCTCAAAAGGGCCACTGATTTCCTCTGTCACCCATGCCGGTCATCTCCGGCTTGGTTAGGGCTTTTGTCTCCTGCCTGATTGTCCTTGGACATAAGCTAAAGGGGTAAAGAGTGCATCATGGTGCCCGGAGCAACTTAAAGAGAACTTGAATGCATGTTGATCAAGCCCTGAAGTGTCCTGAGCATTCGAGGGAGGCTGCCCCACCCCAAGCAGACCGCAGGTGTCTGGACGGCAGAGGCAAAGCGAGGGGTGCCATTCTCAGCCGAGTGTCACGGCAGGGCAGAGAGAGAGACGGAAAAGACTCAGTCGTGTTCCCCAGACGCTGACAGTCTAGTAGGTAAGATAGGACATGGGCACCAGTCATCCTAAGACAAGGCGGAAAGCAATATGCACTCGAGAAAGGGTTTGATGAAATGCCTTTTCCATGGGGCCTTGAGGCATCCGGGTTTCTCCATCGAGAAGGTAAGCATTTCGGCCAGTCCCTGAAGCACACGGGGAATTGAGGCAAAGCCTGAATGCCCCGCACTCCCAGACCGAGGGACCCCTGAGGAGAGACTCAAAGGAAGCTGTCAAGGGATGTGCATGAGGCACGGCAAGACACCCCTGTGCCCTCGGCTGTCCAGCGAGGTGCTGGACCCCTCTTCTCTCCTCTGGCCCATGAGGTCTCCTCCGTTCTTTGAGTTCCTCAGAAATTAAAACTCATGGGGACTGCTGCAAATTGTTCTCTAAAACCTGCAGGGACCCAAGCCCACATCCTGTATTTACATTTATGGAAGTGGCTAAGAAGGCTGCCTGGGCCTGGCCTTCTCCACCCACTCCCTCACCCCATGGGCAGCTGTCCCGCTCAGAGTTTTTTTCCGCAAGCAAAGGACACTGTGAGGAACACACACAACAACTTAAATGTTGCAGCAGCTGGGGATGCCCGGGTGGCTCAGTAGGTTGAGCGTCCAACTTCGGCTCCGGTCATGATCTTGTGGTTCGTGAGTTCGAGCCCCGCGTCAGGCTCTGTGCTGACAGCTGGGAGCCTGGGGCCTGCTTTGGATTCTGTGTCTCCCTCTCTCTCTGACCCTCCCCCTCTTGCTCTCTCTCTCTCTCTCTCAAAAATAAGTAAACATTTAAAAAGTGGTTTTTTTAAATTTTGTGGCAGCCGAACACATGTGGTCTCAGCTGTGAGATGTTGAGGCTCCTTACACAGGGAGAAGGTTTCCGGATGCAAGTCTCCTCCCCCATGCCATCCAGTACGACGGCCACCAGCCACATGCTGAGCCCTTGAAATGTGGCCAGTGTGACCAAGGAGCTGAATTTCTAATTTAACTTCACTTTATTTTTTAAGTTTATTTATTTTTTTTTTATTTTGAGAGAGAGAGAGCGCGCGAGCAGGGAAAGGGCAGAGAGAGAGAGAGAAAGAGAGAGAGAGAGAGAGAGAATCCCAAGCAGACTCCGCATGCCAGCACGGAGCCCAACTTGGGGCTCGATCTCACGAACCGTGAGATCATGAGCTGAGCTGAAACCAAGAGTTTGCTTAACTGACTGAGCCATCCAGGCACCCCTCACTTAACTTCATTTTAATTCGGTGTTAATGCTACTGAGCTGACACAAAAGTTAGTGAATTTACTTCACTTGGATGGACAGCTGTAGTTTTGAAATCGACCTAACTTTGGGGCACCTGGGTGGCTCAGTCGGTTAAGAGGCCAACTTCAGCTCAGGTCATGATCTCGCGGTCCGTGAGTTCGAGCCCCGCGTCGGGCTCTGTGCTGACAGCTCAGAGCCTGGAGCCTGTTTCAGATTCTGTGTCTCCCTCTCTCTCTGCCCCTCCCCCGCTCATGCTCTGTCTCTCTCTGTCAAAAATAAATAAACATTAAAAAAAATTTTTTTTAAATTAAAAAAGAAAAATTTCAAATGACAACGCGTGGCTCAGGCTGTATCTCCCCTGGGCAGCACTGTGCTAGAATGTGGCGGGCGGGGAGCACGCAGAGAAATCGAGTTGGGGGAGGCGACCCTCCCGGTGTCTTAGGCTACAGGACAGAGTGGCAGTCTCTTCTGATGGGGGCTGGGAGTCACTGAGGGCTTCTGAGCAGGGGCGGGCCTCTGAGGGGTGGTCAGGGCTGGGAGGCTCGGAACACAGCCCGCCTGCCTTGCCCGTGGGCTCCCCTACATTCCGCAGGGTGTCTAAAGACACCAACTTCTCACTCTCCCCTCCTCTGCCCCGGGCTCTGCCTCCAGATCGCCCTCCTTGGCCTCCAGTGCCTCTGTCGGGGAGTCTCTGTCAGAGGAGGAACTGGCCCGAATCCTGGAGCAGCTGGAAGACAAGAAGAAGCTCATTGCCACCGTGCGGAGCAAGCCCTGGCCCATGGCAAAGAAGCTGACTGAGCTCAGGTGAGCAGGTGGTGGTCGGCCGGGGGCCTCTTGATGTTTGAGAGGCTCAGCTCCTTCTGATGGGCCCGGAGTCCCTTCCCCCTCTCCGCCCCTTGACAGGAAGGGAGATTCACCCTCCCACTCTGCTTTGGTCCCTTCAATCCCTAACACAAGCATAGCGC